GACCCGGCGGCCACCGCGCGGCCGCGGCGGCGCGCGGCGCCGGGGCCGCCGGGGCCGGCCGCGGCGGCGCGCGGCGCCGGCGGCGCGGCGCCGCCCGCGCGGCGGCAGCTCCAGCTCGAGCGCGAGCGCCTCGCGACGGAGTTCGAGGGCTCGCTCGACGCGGCGCGGCGCGTCGAGGCGAAGATGGAGCACGTGAGCCGCCTCACGAGCGCGTTCTCTTCGCTCGTGTCGGAGCAGGCGGAGACCGTCGCGAACCTCTACGACCTCGTCGAGGAGACCGCGGCGTCCGTCGACAAGTCCGGCGACCAGCTCGCGCGCGCCGCGGCGCGCGCGTCTTCGTTCCCGCGCTTCTTCAATTGCGTCGTCCTCGGCGCCGCCGCCGGGCTCCTCCTGCTTAACGCGCTTCTCCCCTAGGCGGGGCCGGTCCTCCTGGCCTGGAGTGTCTTACTGCTGGGCCGACCCTAGCCGAGACCCAGGGGGCGCCGGTAAAGGCCCCAGGAGTGTCCGACCGGTCGCGACCCCGGGGCCACGCTTCAGTGAGGCCTCTTAGCCTCCTCTTCCAAGGCGTCTTCCAACGCCCACCCAGCTTCGCAGCGACAGGCCTAGCGACGGCAGCACTTGAGGACCGGCGCCACCGGGACCTACCGGGATCCCGGCGGCGATCCGGCGCGATCCGGCGCGATCCCGAGCGATCTCGAGCGATCTCGAGCGATCTTACGCGATCCCGAGCGCTCCCACGCGCTCGGACGCGATCCCGGCGATCCCGATCACGGCGGCGCCGGTCATCACTTGCGGCAGCATTGGGGAAGAGCCGCGGCGCGCGCGTCCGATCCGGCTACGGTTTTTGGGCTGGCATGGAAAGATTGTCAAAGACGGGAAAAGATGGTGTTGCTACTAGAGCATGGGGTTCCCTTGCCCACCTTCTCAGATGGAAAAAACTACCTGCACGAGATACTCGTGGACTGGTTTGCACATGACAACCCTCAAGGCAATTTTCGCGCGGAAGGCAAATTTCGCGCGGGTGACATGCGAGACATAGTTCAAGCTCTCATCGAACATCACCCGTCTCTTGCATCTGAAATGTGGATACAGGAAAACATGGGACGAAGGGAGACCCCCCTGGCAGCGATGCTTCGTTGCTACGCGGCATGGGCGCGGTATCACGATGGTGAAGGTGACAACTACCACATTCTTCAAACCGCGTCCGTGCTCTCCGCGCACGAGTCGACCTACCGCCACGGGCGCGACGATTGAGGAAGTTGCGCTACGCAAAGCCAAGATCTAGCAAGCGCGGCGAATAAAAGTGAGACCAAAGGCCCATGTAGACTAGGCTGCCAGAAGTCCGCAGCCTGCGTCGCGACGCGCGAGCGTTGCCCTGGAAGGCTTCGAGGATGCTTCGGAAAGTTAAGAGACGCCTCTACTACGCGCTAAAGGAGAGGTGCGTCAGGGATTTCGGCAGTGGGCTTCGAGGTCCCTGGGCCACCCGGGCGTCGCCGGGGTCGCGCGGCGAGACCATTCTTGACCGGTCCCCGCCTCCGACGGCACCGGGCGCGTGAAGGGCAGCCCCTACAGGGGCGAGTGGCACTTCCTTCCCCACCCGCACGCTCGCCCGACTGCCAACCCTTCCTCCCCCTTCACCCTCTCACAGCGTGGGTCACTACACACCCGAACGCCACCCCCCCCCCTTTTTTTTTTCTGCGACACCGCTTCGCGCGTCCGCGCGCGAAGCACAAAAACTCCTACAAAAACGCGCGGAGGGCTCGCGCCTATGGGAGCAGGATGTGGCAACACGTTGATCGTTCATGCCGCTCCTCCTCTCGGCGTCGCGCTTCGCGCTCATGTGAGCTGCACGAAGCACCAGACCTTGGCATTGGGCGCCGGGTCGAAAATTACATGGTGCATCCGACCGAAACTATAAAACCAGCGGGCGCCGAGCAGCGCCGCGCCGACAGAAGCGGATTTCACGTCTCTGACAGCACCGTCACGGTAGGTCATGGATCTCATTACGTCACGAGCGTGCAGCGCTCACGCCGCGTCCACTTCCCCAGTCGACTCTCACCGCACACCCCTCCCAGGTCGAAGCGAATATACCTGCCGGAAGGAATCAACAGAGCTTTTCCTACCCGTGCAGGATGACTACCCCCCATCCACTCCTGGCCCCGGAACCCGTCTAGATTAGGGGGGGGGAAATTGATAAGAGCCGCGGACGCCGCCCGCGCTCCTCCTCCACGGTCTGGAGAGCTTCTTCGGCGCCGTCGCCTGAGTCTTCGACGCCTTTGTCGCGCCGCCGCCCGTCTCACGAGGCCATGAGCGGCAAGTCCTACGCGACGCCGGCCTCGGCCTACGCGCCCGTCGTCGTCGGTTCGGTGCCCGTGACGCAGGCCCCGATCGTCGTCGGTTCGGCGCCCGTGGCGCAGGCCCCGATCGTCGTCGGTTCGGCGCCCGTGGCGCAGGCCCCGATCGTCGTCGGTTCGGCGCCCGTGGCGCAGGCGCCGATCGTCGTCGGTTCGGCGCCCGTGGCGCAGGCGCCGATCGTCGTCGGGTCCGTCGTGGCCGCGACGCCCGTCCAGCAGCCGACCGTGGTCACCGTGCCGCAAGGCTGCTTCGGGGGCTCGACGATGCGCGTCCGGGACCCGGCGTCCGGCGCCGAGATGCAGGTGACGATCCCGCCGGGCCTCGCGCCCGGCGCGCAGTTCCAGGTCCAGTTCCCGCCCGCCTACGCCGCGCCGCCGCCGGCGTACGGGAGCCCGCCGGTGCAAGTCCACGGCGTCGTCGTCCACCAGAGCGTCGGCGCCGTCTCGCCGGCGACGAAGCGCTGCCGCGGCTGCGGCGTCCAGTTCGAGCTCGACGCGCGGACGAACCCGGCGAGCGCCGCGGCGTTCCGCTGCAAGAAGTGCCGCGGCTTCAAGCTCAGCTCCTTTTTCTGAGGGCCCCGGCGAGCCCGCGGC